GGATAAAGTCGTAAGTTTGGTAAGGGGAAATCGAGCAAAAATTTTGGCACTCCTAGTGTAGTGTTTCCCTGGATCCTATCTCAATTATCTTTACTGGAAAATAAATATTTCGAAATGAAATCTTGAAATATTCATCTCTCTTAACCTCCTACACCGTAGGTTCATGTAAATCCCTGCTGGAAAACAACTACTTTCCCGGCTACTACCACGCTGCATATTGAATTATGTCCGTCTCACACTAATGCCAGATACCTCACAGAGGTTGGTCTCGCAGATGTTTATTGTTCATCCAGCAGCAGGACCATTCTGAAATCATTCTAGTAGATCACCTACAGACCGGTTTCGAGGAAAGACCCAACGCCAACAGAAAACTGCCCAATTGCTTGTATGGAACCTTCGTCTGAGAGAAAGATTGTCAACTAGTACGTGAACAAAGACCTAAGCGGGGAAGAAACATCCCATGTACCAACACTCCAACAGATATCAAACCGCCTCTAAAAAATGAATAAATCGAAATATAATTTCGAAATATTCGTCTCTCCCAACTACCTACACCATAGGTTCTAGTAAATGCCTACGAAAGAAAACAACTACTTTCCCGATTAATACCACGCTGGATATTTTATTACATCCGAGAGACATTAATGCAAGATGCCTCACAGAAGTTAGTCTCTTAGATGTTTCTGGTTCACTGCTGTTAGTAACATCTCGAAACGCGATGGTCTTAATTAGGCCCAAAGGACTCAGATTAGACATGAAGTGTACAACAGGGGTACACATATGAGACTGAAATAATTTCGACAACCTCAACTGGACCTTTCAAGATTATCTGGACATTGAAACATCTATGGATGTTAATTGGATGCAAAGTGGACCAGCATTTTTATTCAATAAAACATTTGAAATATATATAGATCGAAGTAACAGGCATTTACAATTTCATCTGTTCGGACTTCCATTGTCTAATATAATAATAATAATAATAATCTTTATTTGAAATAGGTAATCCTAATCTACATTCACAAAGTATAATCTTATATATAGTAATTAGCAGCTCCTTCGATAGTATTAATATATTTGTTTTGTTTTAAATTTAAACGTACACACTAGGTATTTACATTTCGAGTTATATTTTCCATTGTTTTGCTAAAAGAAAACCATTCAAGTATAGCCAAATACCATAATAATCATATACAATCCTACATATGAACCAATAAGAATGCTATCCCAATATACACTTATAGCCCAAAAGAAAATACATATATTGATACCATTCACGTACAGCCAAATACCACAATAATCATATACAAACATACATATGAAACCAATAAGTTATGCTATCCCACTACCCACTATACACTCATATCCCGTAAGAAGATACATATATTANAGATACATATGTGGGGAACTTTTTCCCAAATAAGTTAAGAGTATAGAAGTATAGTTTCTCGAATGGAAAAACCTAATACACCTTTGCAAACCATATTTCAGCAGAAGGCCATGACTTCAATTATGACCATGACGTGTTACATTTAGGCTAGAAAAATTTGAAACTCAATCTTTAAATGTTAAGAAATAACCATACTTAAGAATTCGGGTAATTTACTGAATGAGCAAATAGAATTGAATAACCCCCCTTTAGTGGTTATTTTTTCAAAGTGAAAACTGGTATTTAACTGATACATAAGCTCAAGTAATTTCATTCACAACAGGTTTACTCAAATGATGTACAGTTTATTTTCTTCTCTTATGTTAACACTCATTGAGTGATTCACAACACATTTAATATTGAATAGCTATATAAAACTCAGGTACTCCAAATTGTAAAAATATATATGAAGCATTGAATATGTAGATTTTAGTTAGTGAAGACATGCCTGAAGAAGCCATTGTATAGCGAAACACTCGCAATGAAGTGTTTCTTGTTCAATATCAATTCTGCACCATTTTTTTAAGTTGTATAATTCAGTATGAGGTCTTATATATATTTCAAATATTTGACGTCAGTAAAATATAGCTTTGTTGAAAATGAATCGAGTTTTACCATTCTTACCTGCAATTTATAAATTATTCCTGACGCATTTGATGTACATTTGCAAGTAGATGCAACATACTTTGATATGCAGAAGTTATTCGATCAAACTGATTTGCAAATAATTATCAGTAAACTGGAAAGTTGCGGTGTTTCGTTCACTCCATAGCAGGTTTTTTTGCGCAAATTGAAATTGAAGGTTGTCAGTCGAATTTTCATTTATCTACCCCTCGAGTACCTATCACAAGGTTCTTCGCCCCCTTGATGTTGACGATCTGAAGATTTATCATGTCATTGAAAGTATTGAAGATTGTTTAAGTTTGCAACTGTAATTTTCAACTGATTCTCTGTGAATTTACCGTGATGACTTTCCTCAAAAAATAGGTTTTCATTGAATATACCTACAACATTCAAGAAATTCCACACTCGAACAAATAATAAAGTCAAAGTTCTTGGAATCTCTGTGGATCAAAGGCTACCTTTTATACCATACTTGAAAAAATATATCTTCGGCCAACAGAATGTAGGGTTTCTTGGTAAGACAAGGTAGAGATTTTCAACGTTTTGCCCATAACTGTAATGGACATTTTAACGGTGGTTGACAGCGTTGCGATCTCCTTGGAATTGTGATGTATTTTTTCACCAATTAAGGATTATAAGACCGACAATCAATATGAGAGTAATGAGTTTTGGTGATATAAATTTGTTCATATGTTGCATTCAGGGTCTTTCATTTTCCTTCGGTATGAATATTTTGTAATAAATAATTGGGTGTTTAAATCTATTTAACAAGTTCCTCCCCCTTCTCAGCTTTTAGATTTGAATGACGTCGATTTTTGTTCTCAGAATCTGGACAGAAGAGCGAAAGACTCACTAGAGATGTTCTGACTACAAAATTTGGAGTAATAGATGACGCAAAAACAGCAAAAATTCCCTTATTGTATTATATAGTGGCAGCATTCCAAAACGCAGAGGAAGGATGACAGCATGATTTTCAAATATTTTAATTATTATAAATGTCAATAAAACTAGTTGTTGTAAAGTCTCAATTATTTAATCATCATTGACAGTTTCAGATTGTTTGTTACTAGTTTTCTGACTATTCTGGAGCTTATAATAATTAGTTTGTTGTACTGCAGTATACTTCATTGCCCAGTACCCCGCCACAAGTTGAATTATCAACAAGATAAACATTATACTCTGTACAACTATTTCTAAAATATACATCCGAGAGTGTGGATTAAATAGTAGATATCCCTGCATCGGTAGTTGAAGCAACAATGACAGCATCCAAAAACCGGCAAGTTCTGGTATCTGGAAATAAATATAATTCAATCTAACTGTCCAAATGTGAATGTGTACTTTTCGAATGAAAATATTTATATCAAATAAAGGGTTTCACCAGATTTTTACTGTTCATTAATTTGACTGAACAATACAATGAGTGTACACAGAAAAGATTATTGGTAAGAAATTAAATGAATTCCTTCCCAAGATCTAGGCAATCCAAATATATCTGATTCTCATAAGTACTGATCTCAAGAAATAGTTTCAACTATTCCTAAAACTACATAATACAGTTTATTGTATGATTTTCACTATAGAGGGTTTTACAAAAACCGCGACAGGTGTTTCGTTATACAATAGCTTTCTCAAGCATAAATTAAAACTTTGAATTATAATAAATTGATGGATGTAGCCGTTACTACGTGGTAAGAGATCATGATGAAAAGAGAAATGAAAATTTCTATGTTTTTTACCACTTTTATTTGTAACTAACGTTGTTACTGCAGTTTCGTCCTATATGGACATTTTCAAACTTAAACAATAAACTAAGAATGATTCATTACATTCACTAATATTTACCATTCAGGTACATGATTGAGTACCTGAATATATAGTTCACAATGCGCATGTGCCAATTTAAAAACCGGAGAGTAAATTAAATCGATTTGGTCATTTAACAGGTTGCACCCACAATGTTTATGCTTGTGAATTTCCAAGGATTCTAAATAATTGGGTTTGCAACCCTTCCTTGCATAGTGCAGAATGTCCGTATCGTTTAGATTCGGAAACTTGTGGTTGCATGCCAAGGAATGATTTGAAAACGTCGAATCTTTTTTTCCCAGTCTGAAGGACCTTTCATGTTCAGCATACCGTTTTTGGAAATTTCGTCCGCATTGTCCCACATAAACACTATTACACTCCGGACACTTAAGCTTAAAAACTCCAGATTTTTCCAACTTGTCGACCTTTTCTTTGGCATTGAAAAGAAAATGAGATAACCTGGCATGTGGTCTGAATGGTACTTCCACATTGTTTTTTCTGAAGAAACCTGCGATAATTTCTGTTCTTTTTCCAAAATATGTTAGCTTTTTGGAAATTTCGTCCGCATTGTCCCACATAAACACTATTACACTCCGGACACTTAAGCTTATAAACTCCAGATTTTTCCAACTTGTCGACCTTATCTTTGGCATTGAAAAGAAAATGAGATAACATGGCATGAATGGTACTTCCACATTGTTTTTTCTGAAGAAACCTGCGATAATTTCTGTTCTTTTTCCAGAATATGTTAGCGTTACCCATTTCTTGATTTCTGGTTGTTTGACAAGTTTGACTTGTTTGACAAGTGAATTTCCGGCTTTGTTTCCTGACTAACTTCTGGATAGTATCTGCGTTGAAACCGTTATTATGACCTATCTGTGTAATTGTATCAATTTCCCTAGCTAGATTGTCTGCAGACAAAGGCAGTGAGAATGCTCTGTGCAGCATTGAATTGTAGGCTGCTAATTTATCACTGTCTGGATGGAAAGAATCGCTTGGGATGGTGAAACTACCGGTCTTATGGGGTTAGCCTCTTTATGTGTCTTTATCAGGCCATACACTTTAGGAGAAGAGGGGTTCATGTTGGTGATTCTACGTTTCTCTGATTCCGTGAAAATGCTTTTAGTATCCAAGAGGATATGATGGATAAGAGGATATGATGTATGGCCTGATAAAAACACATAAAGATGATAACCCCATAAGACCGGTAGTTTCGTATATAAATAGTCCGGTAAGAATTTCCGAATCTGAACGATACGGAAATACTGCACTTTGCAAGGAAGGGTGGCAAACTCAATTATTTAGAATCCTTGGAAATTCACAGGCATAAACATTGCAGGTGCAACCTGTCAAATGACCAAATCGATTTAATTTACTCTCCGGTTTTTAAATTGGCACATGCGCATTGTGAACTGTGAATTCAGGTACTCAATCACGTACCTGAATGGTATATATTAGCGAATGTAAAAAATCATTCTTAGTTTATTGTTTAAGTTTGAAAATGTCCATATAGGACGAAACTGCAGTAACGTTAGTTACAAATAAAAGTGGTAAAAAACATGGAAATTTTCATTTTTTCTTTTCATTTGAATTATAAATTAGTTTCAATATGGATTTTCATCAAGTATCGGCCAGTTCTATTCAATCAACTATTCCTCTCATGAACACCATCTATTCTCACAAAAAAAAATTAATTCCTTTGCAGAAACAATTCGAGTTTTTATTAAAATTTTTGAGATTGTGTGGTTGATCTGTAATTTTTTTCAGAATGTTAGTGATCTCTTTCGCACTAATGAAGAGTTGTAATTCGATAAACAATAACTGTTTTGGATAATAATCATGAACTCATACCGTATACATCTCCAGCATATTGTAAAAAGTTACCTGTATGCAAATATTCCATTTACAGAAAATCTAACATTCACACAAACTATAAACAAGTAAATTATGCTAAGTTGAATCAGCTCAAAAATACAGAGTGTATTTTTTCAAGTACAAATACACATCTTTGGTTTGGTTTGCCAAAGCATCGACAATTATATACAAGGTTGGCTCGTAAATAAATGCTTTTAAATTTGTAGAGAGTTTTTATTTCAATAAAGTATACATATACAAATTCCTAGTGAACTTGTGAAAAACGAATACTCGTATGACCAAAAACTTTTGTTGTGCATTTGAGTAGATCAGATAATTATGAACTCTCATCAGAAGTCCATGAGGAATGCAGTGTTTTTTGTGAAAACTATTTCCAGTTTTCTCAAAAATTCGAAGAATGTCAATATATTGAATTTAGGGTATGATTTTGAACAGTAATAGCCCAAAAACACTGATAATTATGAGATGGTAGAAGCTGAACTGTTTAATTTTTGACCGATATTCATCTTTCAAGTTCTGTACCTGAAAGTTGAAAACCAGGAAAATTCCTGCATTATCAAAATGGAAAGTTGAATTCTTGAATAAGGGAGAATAATAGATCACTAAGAATTGTTTTTCCAAGAAAATATGATTTGTTTCCTAAATAATATAAGATTTTCAGGTAGGAAAAAAAAAACTGTCGCCTGAAAATAAAATATACTATTCTATAGAAAATTATAATAAAACCAAGATATTATCGTTGTGTCAAATATTTTCGAATATTTCCAGGAAATCAAGATGACTGACACTGTCAAGTGATAGTTTAGTCTTAGTCACCTTTGTGAACTCAAAAATTTATTGAATCTGTCCAAATGAAAAGTATTCTTCGATTGATATTTTTGATTATTTTGATCACTTCAAGCTCATATGTATCAGAAAAAACAAATTATCCAGAAATACCGTGAACCTATTTTTTTTTCATGGTACCGAAACGAATATTTTTTAAAACTAAATTCTCATTGTCCCAAAAAACAATTAGCTAACTGGAAATATTGACTACTTTCAAAATTTTTAGAATCAAAGAAGTAATAAACGAAAATATAACTTACCTTATCCTTCAAATTCCCTTCATATCCAAGAAACAATCTCAAAATTTCCACAAAAAATATAGTAGCTATAATAGTAACTGTCACATATTTGTTGAGTTCTTCGTAGGATTGATACTGAAATAAAATGTTGTTTCTGAACAAAGTTGTTAATTGTAAATGAATCACCGTCAACTCACATTTCTTTCTAGGAATAAAATAGTTATTATAACCCATACCGGTGCAAATACAACATTGAAATATAAAGCCATCTGCAAGGGTAAATTTGACAGGACTTCGATTTCTGAAAACAAGCCATCCAATAGATCATTTGAAAATATACAAACGATTCCTATAGAACTGGAATTTGAAAAATATCAGATTTAGTAAATTAAAAGAACGAATTTTACATTTCTTTTCCTCAATATATTACCATAATTTCTGTTACTGAAGTAATGAGATGAGTATCTTGGTTGTTGAGGTTGTATAAGAAAATCCACAGTGGATATTTAATTTTTTTCAACTTATAATGAAAATTAAAACCAGTAACAAGAAAATTCACTCTATATTCGATAAGATGGAGCTTTTCGGTATCACTTCTTTTCAGAAATGTTTAAATGATAAATTTCCACGTATATGGATTGGTCAAAAAGGAAAGATTGAATGTCCACCACGATTTCCTGATCTAATGTCAAAAAATCATTCAATGCATTACATAATTTATAAATTCTAGAATTCTATATATACTGAACAGTTACATCATGAAGATGTGCAAGTAATCTTGACACTTCGAAATATTTATGAATGTTCTTTACACCTATTCTGCAAAAAGGGAAAAAACGAAATACTTTAGGTTAATGTCTCCTGGGCTCCTTCTCTGTATCTCCATTTACTAATGAATCGAGAGATTTTTGAAGATCAATTTGTCACTAGAGACACCTCGTGCCAAATAATAATAACGCTCACCTGTCATATTTTGGTAACCTGGCAAATCGTGAGATGTATTCGTTACTTGTCGTTTCCTAGGCATCTTCCATTGAAGGTAATTGCCTCATCAATGAATTCTAATGATGAATCTCCAAAATAAACACAAGCAAAAACTTCTTCAAACCATTCTAAGTTGGGTACATTTCTACTATTTTATTGTTTGTGCTGCGTTACTATGGTTACTTTCCCCAATATGTGTTTTGCACCATCACCATTTGTTTGTAGGCAACTTCCATAGTCGCAATACAGATATATCGCTTTGGTTTTAAATAGATAATAAATGATAAGATAAATAATTATTCAAGTTATCTTAGTAATGAAATGTTGCAGCAGACTGCATGATATATAGACTTTATATGTTGATTGGGTTTTTTTGAATGTTCATCAAGCAAAATTTGTTCCAAAAACCACTAAAATGTAAGTACTTACATATCAAAGTTAGTACCTAATGTCACCTTTGGATTTAACCCAAGTGCAAATCTCACAAAAACCTCGAAATGAAATACATTCATTAATATCAGTGTAATACGGTTTAATAACGATGCATTTAGGAATAGTAACGAGACCAAGATATGGGGTGTTATATTGAAGATTTTAAGAGAGTTTCTGGTAAAGTTTAAACAGAATTTTTATTCAGTGTTACTATCTCCATACGGGTTTGAAAGCCGTCCTAGTTTAGAACTTTTTGAAATATGCGCGTATACCTATTGCTTATGGGTATAATCCAAGTGGATCAGAATGTATTCCAAAAATAACTTCGAAAAATTAATATATTTATCCGTCGCTATTTTCGAAAAGAAGTCGTTTGAAACGTCTACTTCTTTGAAGATATATTTTTTAAAGTAGTTGAAATATTGAAAAATTATTTGAAAGCAAACTTTTTTACGATAGGTACAAGGCGAGAAAACATTTTGGCTAAATTGTACTTTATGGGATACTCACGAATTTTCGCGATTTTTTCTGGTATAGTGGAAATACAAAACACTTTCTATTTTTAGTCGGACTCAATTAGTTTTCGAGATATAGCCTGTCAAAATTTGTATGACGTCATATTTTACCTTTTTTTTAAGCAATAAACAATTGCACTTCTTCACTTAAACTGACAATTGAAGTGAACCACACTGTATAGCACATAATAAAAAAAACTGATACTTTTCAATATCTTACGTTGCTTGAAATATATTTTGAATGAGTCAGAAAAAGAAGTAAAATAATCAATCCAGAGATCAAAATCTTTCCGAAACTTCGATGGAAGAATATTCAAACTTGCTTTAAATACCTACTATACAGGAATAATAATTTGATTGGATCAAACTTTTTTGTTTCTCAATCAATTCAAGCATTGTTTACTGGTGATGGGATAGGTAATTCAAATTGGAAATTTTCGATTATTAGAATATCCAAACAATTGGTATGTTCCGATTATAAATGAGAAGAATCTATGTATGGGTAGTGGGTCCGAGTCGAGACGATTTTAATCAAACTGCTTGTTGTCTGTGAACAGTAGGTTTGTCATAAAAGGAATTATAACTCAAAATTGAGGGCTTTCAATTCAGTTTGGGTGTTTTATAGGGATATTTTTTCGAAGAAAATTATATTCATTTGGAAAATAACAAAGAATTTTGGATATGGCTCAAAATTTCCTTCGATATATATTAAAAACAGTTGAAATTACCTATATACAATAAGACAGTTATACATTGTACTAACCTCCGTCACCAAATTCAATACCCACTTCTAGGCAACATTGACATTATAAAAAAATTGTTATTGATTCACGAAAATTCCAGAACTCAATCTAGAAAATGGAATGAAAGAACCCTAGTCGAAGGTTCCAACATTTTTGTGATAACAAAATCCCTATTCAGCTAATAAAAAAAGTCTTCGGCCGAGGACAAATTGTATTTATGATTACTTCTATCAAATTCATTCAAACCTAGATTTTGAACCCCAAGAAACCCCTTATTTTCTATATAAGACAGTTATATATTTTATTAACACCTGTTCGAAGGCACTAGCGTCAAATCAAACTTCGTCACCAAATTCAATACCGACTTCCTTGCAACATTGACATTATATATTTGTGGAAAATAAAATATTTGGTGGATTTTAAAGAAACAAATGTTCACTGAATACAAAGAATGAAAAAAAGAACAAACTGTGGAAACAAATGTAATTTTACAAAAATTTTCTTTAAAAAAAGCCGTCGTAAATTTGGAATAAAGTCGTAAATTTGGTGACGGGAAATTGAGCTAAAAATTTTGGCACTCCTAGTGTAGTATTTCCCTAGATCCTATCTCAATTATCTTTACTGGAAAATAAATATTTTGAAATGAGATCTACATCTCTCCTAACCTCCTACATCGTAGGTTCATGTAAATCCCTGCTGGGAAACAACTACTTTCCCGGCTACTACCATGGTACATATTTAATTATGTCCGTCACACGCTGATGCCAGATACCTCACAGAGGTTGGTCTCCCAGATGTTTATTATTCATCCAGCAGCAGGACCATTCTGAAATTCAGGAAAGACCCAACGCCAACAGAAAACTGCCATATTGCTTGTATGGAACCATCGTCTGAGAGAAAGATTGTTAACTAGTACGTGAACAAAGACCTAAGCGGGGAAGAAACATCCCATGTACCAATACTCCAACAGAGATCAAACCGCCTCTAAAAAATAAATAAATCGAAATATAATTTCGAAATATTCGTCTCTCCCAACTACCTACACCGTAGGTTCTAGTAAATGCCTACGAGAAAACAACTATTTTCCCGATTAATACCACGCTGGATATTTTATTACATCCGAGAGACATTAATGCAAGATGCCTCACAGAAGTTAGTCTCTTAGATGTTTCTGGTTTAAGCTGAAAATTGAAAATATTATTAACAATATACTGACAATCGAAACGTCGTGACGTAACTTGGTTTGGAATCTTTCAATTTTTATTTTTCTTTTTTTGTTAATGATATTTTCAATTTTCAGCTTTTACTGATATTTCAATTTTTTGGTTGTAGCTTGTATGTTATTTCTTTATAATTTCAGTTTTTGGTGACTGTCTGGAAAATTTTAAAAAATATTGATTATCAATAGTTTTTTGAAATTTCAATAAATCAATAAGTGACGGACCATCAACCTTCTTCCGCTCATTTGAAATATTTCCAACCATCCACTAATATCAAGAAATCATTTTTACTGGAGGTCGTGACTTAGTTTTCCTCTAACTGAAGAAAATATTCCTGTATTGGTTCCAAAAGCCCTGCTGCAACAAAAGATTCAAAGCAGAGGATCGGTCTTTGAAAAATCTAGAGTGTTCACTCCTCCAAATCAAAAAAAGAAATTTCAACGTACTTTTCACTCACATCAATGCTTTTCAGGGAGAAAGAGTACATGCAATCGAAATGTTTAAACAGTGATATCATAAATATCATTCAAAATACTTTAGAAATGTGGCAACTTGCTTCCGATCATGATATACGTACAATTAAAGTAGACTTGGATGATATAATTGAATCTATAAAGCAGGAACACTTTGTAAACTCAACTGATTGCAAAATCTACAGAGGAATTCATTGGTGAGAAAATTACTTGCATTTTTTATGATATATCAGGTTTAAATATTGCAGTGTTGTTCATAATTTTATTTGGGATGCACTGATGCCTCTGGTTCGAGCGATGTTCACTGAAGAAGATACCTATCTATATCAAAAAAGTAAAAAATTTTGCAAATTTGGAAAAACTTTGGATGAGGAAGATAATTATCTGAGTACCATTTCTTGCACATCTGCCGTAAGTTGTTCGATGGTTTTATATATTTCTATTATTTATTTCGTTTTTGAACATGTTCAGAGATGAGCTATTTTTAATTACATTTGGTAATTTGTTGAACCGATCAAAACCCTTGAAAAACAAAGAATTCATGGTGTTTTTGTTTTTTGTTCTGTTTATACATACATCATTATTATTTCGAGTGAGGTGGTGATGAATATCATGATGAAAGAGAATGTAGGTTCTATTCGAAATAAAATGGTCCTAAATTGTTCAATATTTTTTATACGAAAATCATTGTGAAATATAATATCTTTGGGAAATGAATTTTCAATTTGAAACATTAAGCATAATAGTAATAGTGGTATCTCTACGGCACTTCAAAATGATCCTCATACCGCGATTCTGAAGTTTTTGAGTTGAGACAATTTATTCTGAATGAATAGATATAGGATAGAGAAACAGTAGTCAAAGTGTGGCTGAACAATTGACTTGTAAACTGTGATACTTGACTCGGTTGAAACATTATTGGCAATTCCAGAGAGATGCGTTAAGTAAATGTCAGGAAACCATATATTGAATGATTCATTTTCCCGATCCCTATAAAACCATAACTTCATATCATAAATCTCGATTTCAATCACATACCATTTATTCATTCATTTATACTTTCTGATCCACACTCATAAATTTACTATATTGAATTGATCTGAAATTAGCGTATTTCTCAACGAATTCACCACAAATTCATTTCATACATTTTGGGGTAATTTCGTTAGGAGAACCTCTCATTTCATATAATATGAACAGTGGGATAGATCGACTGTGATTATGCGTCATATTATCTAAAGAAGGTGTTTTGGCCACTGCAAAATTTTCTTTTACTTTCGATTTATTGTATCGAACATGAGATATAGAGACAATTCTGCAGATTTACAAAAAGAACGACTCTGATGACTAGATGTTTGTATAAATTTACAATGATTTTTGAGTAAACCATTATAAGACTATTGGAAAATATCAATGAGTCAAACAATTTGTTAAGATTGATAAAGCAATACTCCTAAATAATGCTCAACCTTCTCCTTCGAAATCAATTTCAAGTCCTGTTGGCTCCCATACAGCAGAATTTAGTGAGCTTTTCCACCAAGGCATTTTTTTCATCTGTATTTATTTATTGCAGTGGCGTCTCTATATATCCTATTTAGGGAAATGTTTTTACCGCTTCCTAAAAATACTTATTTTTTCAGAACTTTCACTACGAAATTCATCACATTTATGTATTTTTTACAGATAGAGAACTAGAAATTCCCGTTGTCAACAACGAAGAAGTTATTCACTTAGTATGTAAGGTGCTAATCAAATCGCAAATGCTGCATTTCTCCAGCAATCTCTTCTATATAAAATTATTTGGAGAGCAAATTTTGAAGTGTGATCAGAATATGAGGTACGTCAATTCATATTTAATGATAGGTTTTATTCAGCTTTTCAATCAGCTTTTAGTATATTGGAACTTTTTTTGTAACTGTAAATATCTTACTGCGGTTTTTCCAACCGCAGCATGAAGTGAACAAAATCCAGGCTAGTATGTCGTGGTCAAAGTACCAAATGCTGAGACTTCGAGATATAACCCTCGTCCTCGCAGTCAACGTACATGCCACTGATAATGTATGCCGCAGTGTTAGTCGAAACGTTTGGTACTTCAATGTGATTATTTATCGAACACTACGATTTTATACCAGTAAATATGAAATTTCAATCAAAATATAAGGGACGGTCACAACTGAACACTGTAATATATTATTCAGTCTGTGTATCTCATTTAGAATAACTGTCAAAAAGTACTTAAAAGTATAAGAAATATCGAAAGTTATTTTATGAGTTCAAAGTTTTAATGACATGGTAAAATTAAGACATTCGAGATAGTCTACATACGTCTTATTCGAGACAGAGGAAATATAAAACTAACCTTTGCAGTGACATCTATATATCAGTAGCAGGCTCACGACATTAGAAATATCGGTAAACAGTCAGTAATTCTTGCGGACTTATTCGCTGGACATGTAGAGGACGTTAAGAGTACCGGTCTCAGAAACAATTTCAGACTTTCTGATTGGTGGAAATTTTTACGAGATTATTTGAATTACATCCCCTAACAGTTTGGAAATTTTTGAGAAACAATTGAGGCAGTCGTGCGCACACCCGCGAGGAGTTCGCGGTCTTTTGACCGGGGCGTTTCAACCTCCGGGCATGGTTCTGGAGACCCGGTGTCGCGAAGGGTTTCAGATTTGTTAATTATTCGCGGTTTAATTAAATTGAGGTGAAAAAGGGTGATAGCGTACGAAGTCAGTCCTGCGTGGACCCCAGGGTCGTTTGGGGCGCTCTTAACAGGGGCAGTTGGCCCTTTGGGGAGGTTGCTGAGAAAGCTATTGTAGGGACTGAGGTGCTAGGTGTTTTAAGACCCAGGGTCGCGAGGGGATTCCAGTAATGAGAAATATTCGCGGTATATTTGGCTAGCTGACTTCAGGTAAAAGTCAGGAGCGTACGAACTCAGAAGTAGGTCGATTTGGCTTCTTACGAAGTTCTGAGTGGATTCTGGAGGTACTGAAATATGAGGTAGTTCAGGGTACCGTTTTGCGAGGTGTTTCGGGATTGATAAATATTCGCGGTTTAGTTGAATTGAGGTAAAAGGAGTCGTGCGCGAATAATTCTCTAGTTCAGTTGAATTTCCTACAAAGTTTGGAAATTATTGAGAAAGCTTTGAGTGAGTTGAAATATTGAGATATTTCAAGTCACTGTTTCGAAAAGTGATATTGGTATTTGGGAGTATGTCGCGTTTTTTTTGATTAGCTGACTTGAGGTAAAAAGTCAGGAGCTTACGAACTCAGAAGTAGGTCGGTTGGACTTACTACAGAGTTGTGAAATTATTGAGAGAATTTGTGAAGTGATTGGGTTTGATTTGATTAGCTGACTTGAGGTAAAAAGTCAGGAGCGTACGAACTCAGAAGTAGGTCGGTTGGACTTACTACAGAGTTGTGAAATTATTGAGAGAATTTGTGAAGTGATTGGGTTTGATTTTTATTCGCGGTCTGATTCAGTTTAGCTGATTTAGAGAACATTTTCGAGTTCCTGGTAAGAGTTTGGGACAGTTTTTGGGGAAAGGGTGGCTTTTGTTGAAGAGTTCAGGGGAGTCCATCTACGTTAATTTGGCAAATTACGGATATGCATTTGGTTAGTACCTCGTTCACTAGATGGAATGACATTTTGTGATGTTCGCTTCAACTTCGGAAGAGGAATGAAATACTCTGAAAGAATTCCGATTTTCAATTATGGAATATCATTGACTTTAGGTCGATGATGGTTACTATCTTGCACTGACGAGTGGCTAATGAGCCCGAAACCGGTCTGCGAGTGTGCCCGTTCCAAAATTGAAGGTCGACTCTTTCATTTGTATTGCCAATTGCATATGCAGGAAATTTTCTGTTAAGATTCCTGCACTGACGCCTGACGGATATAATCCAACGTCCTTCGTGGTATTAGCCAGGGGAGTAGTTATTTTCTGATAGGCGTCAGTCCATTCAACCTACTGTGTAGGTATATGAACGAAAGTTCTTTTATTTAGATTTGTTTTCTGCCAGTCTTCAAGCATAGCCCACTGACTAATAAGAAAGTTTCTCAGAGTTGTATTTCATTTTGTTTTCATAGGAGATCTAGTAGAATTCAGGCAAGGCATACCTATGTCCTGAGTGATGTTATTTCAATTTTCCGAGGAATAATCCTGTCATTTTGTTTAGTGGTTTATTCATATTTTCCACATGGTTATAATTATATACTTTTTTTTTCATATAGCACACACTTTAAATAATGTTCAGTAAAACATATATGAACGAATAGTTTCATTATTATTTTGTGTAGGTTAAACTCCAGTATTCATTTTTGTTAACTTTATTTTATCAATTGTTGATTTCCTCAAACCCCTAAAAGACCACGCATTTAAGTCGTTACCGAATCCAGTCTCTGAGGATATAATTGGTGGCATAACCAAGCCAATTGCTCTACGAAGATGGAAATGTAAAAAATTCAACTGTTAACCAAGTCGCTTACAATTCTCAATCCGTGTGATCAGGACGGATTTTAAACTTTTTTTGATCTGGTGGCAGCAACTTTTGCGCTACCAAACTAAATAAAAATAAATAAATACCTTTAGCTGAATGATCCCGTATACAGGGGGTGTATTTTTCTGATGCGAGTATAACTGAGATAATTATTATATATCATTAGTATATCATTAGTATATAGGGATCGCCAATTCAAACTCGACGGTCATTTATTACAATCACACTGGGAATTGAAGCCAAGCAGAAGTACATGTTATTATATTAATAATTGTATTATTTTCAGGTCTATTCTGAACAATTTCGAAGTAGCTATGAATCACATTATGACTTTAGATGAAAGCACCATGAAGTCTGGTGAATTGGAAGATGGTATTACTGCTTGTGAAATGATGAAACTTCTATCTGAAGAAGAAAGATCTGTCGTCAGATATAGTTGCAACCTTGAATTTGAAAAAAGAAAGAGACTTGTTTCTTTGGTAATGACATCCACTGCAGAAAAAAATTTAGTACTTTCAGATCAATCGAAAGTATTTATTTGACGCAATTAATTATGAATATATCTGCATATAATCAGTCAAAAGGATCACAGTCTACATTTTTGATATAGAGGATGAAATAGAGTGTTTGAATTGCGAGTAGTGAGCATCATTAGATTCAATGAAATTTGTTGAATATGAAATAGATGTGTTTAGCCATCAACTGTATACAAGATGGTTTTGAATATACCTTTTCGTTCTGAATTTCCCAACACTTTTTTAAAAAGTTTCCTGATTGTTATTTAAAGTGTCTCCGTGAATTACCCATTTTCCAGAGAGATAATGATTCAAAGTCTATTATTATATCATAATTCATTTATGGTTAGGCATGCTTATTTGTCATTGGATTGAGTTCTATTTGATTTCTAGTATGTCAATTTGTGATGAATAAACATATTTTTTTGTATAAGGGTTATATTTTTAGGAGGGTTAATTTTTGAGAAAGTATTTGGCTTTCTACTTCTCTATCTTGATGCAAAAAAATGTGGGAATCTTGATTGCTCCTTTCCTTTCTTTGGATGATTTCCACATTTTCTTGTATCAAGATGGAGAAGTAGAAAGCCAAAAACCTTTTTTCCTATATAATTATTATTATCAAGACTTAACACGATAGTAGCTGTAACAACTGTAAACTCAACGAGTGTTGACAACTAGAAAAACAATATGGCACAGACTGATTGAAAATTTAGGAATTATATCAATAGGTTATTCAAACCAAACGATATATCGAAACTAGTTCAAAAGAGTACTCAGATATGCATCTTTTTTAGACTTGCCACATGAAAAATGAAGAAACATTCTTGATACTGTTGTGACCGGTATATGATATTGAATTGAAAAGTAGACGTTAATTTTTTGGTAAACAAATAAGGTTTTGGCTTTCTACTTCACCATCTTAGGAATCCTCCAAAAAAAAAGGCGGCAATCAATTCCAAAAGAGTAATTCAGTACCAAGATATGCAATTTTCAGCTCTCTACTTCTCCATCTTGATATATGGGAATCTTACAAAAAAATGAATTATCCTCTCACAGATGAATCATGCATTACATCTATCGAGAAAAAATTGCATAATTTCAGAGTTACGTCTTATTCTCATCTTTATGTACTTTCAAGTTTTTCATCTTCTCAGAAACTGTTTGACTATTCCATGTCATCAAACGTGTCTCAGGTATGACAAATATATTGTTCATCTTAGAACATCCAGATACCTGCAGATGGGAAACGACCAGTAAGAAAAACTTTGGCAACAGAATCCTGCGGTTCATGGTTAACCCCACAACAGTGAACACGAATATCTGCAGACAGTGCAAGAACTGGAGATGTGATGTGCATTGTGGCGGAAGCAGCAGAACGGTTAGGCTTTGACAGAAGAGTCCTATGGCTGAACCCGCATAGTCCCCAAAAGAACTAATTCCCAACGGATTTGGAATAGCGAAACCTATCCTTGTCACAAAATCAAGGCAAATTTAATAACACCGATGTTTTGTCATAATCCATCAACAGTTTTGACAAAGCTGCCACTGTCCAGCCCGCCGAAAACGAGTACAACAACAATCTACCAATGTGTTATTTGTAACACTCCAGAAGGTTCGACCAGTTTGTGGATCCTGACTGTTACAGTGTGGACAAGTTTCTATCTAACTACACGGTCCCCGGTAGGTCAGTAAGTTTGCAGTCAAATGTCTGCTTAATCGAAGCAATTACTGCTACATCAATTCGATTTTACAAGTTCTGATTGCATGTCCACCACTTTACAACTTTCTTAACTCTTTGAGGGGTACAAAATTTTACCAAAAAAAGATCGTAGTGGAGCAACAAAAATTTTATTCATACATTTTTATAAAATTTATGTTGAATAATAAAGTATGCGTAACAAACATAAAGGTAACTTTTCCAAAATTGCACTGATTTTTTTTGACTTATGGGATGGTACATATAAGGTACCACCAAGCCATCCAGTAAGAAACATTTCATTCTCTTTGGTGAATTATCCTTTGGAATTATTGGGCATATACTGTGGAACGGTGTTACATTTTCTGAATTATTTTGTACAAAATCGGCAACACCAGAAGAACTTTCAAAATCTGAAGTTGGAGTTGGTTTACAAGTATTTGGCCCAGTTGGTGGTGTATAAGGTACAGCAACATTTGGGGCGGGAATATGAACAAGGTTAGTATTGACAATTATTTCCCTAATCGTAGATAGAGGTAAATCAGATTCGAACCCATCACTTTCGAAACTTCCATCATTGTCAATTGCAACGGGGACATTATCTGCCAAGTCTTCGTCATCGAAGGTGTCAATCTCAAATTCGCAATCAGACGGTATATGTTCTACGTCTTCATCCACCATAGTATCAGGTCCTTCAATCTCGTTGTATAATTCTTCTAAAGTAATTCCAAATAAATTGAAAGGTAATTTATCATTTCTGATCCTCTCCATGTTAATGGAAAAATGACATCATAAAAGTTTCAACCGATGCGGTGGTACGCGAAAGGTACCACAACAATAAATTGTTTATGTTCACTTGTAATGTGATATTTTCAGTTTTGATGCTGATGACACTTACTTCAAACATTAGCTATCCAATTTCCATCAATTATTGCAAAAAAACTAATTTTTTTTATACAATAAGACCACTAAACAAAGCACATCAGTTGAACGTACAAAGTTTTGAGGTTAGTGGCTGCAACACGCGACCAAATCTGTAACCAACTATTGTAAGTTGCGTCTACCATGCACGTGATGGCAAAACTACAGTGGTTCTGAAAATGAATCACTGCAACCAGAGCAATAGCTCTGTTGAGAAGGTGGTACACTTTAATTACCATCGCCACCAAACGTGGTGGTACATGGTGGTTTATTCAATGCACCTTGGTTACCTTATAAAGAGTTAACAGCTTTTGTGCAAAAACGTATCGTCGAACAAGATAATAAAATCCAACCCAATTATAGTTGAAATATTATCGTTTTGTGAGGTCCAACATGGATTTATAAAATGTTGCATAGCATGCGGACAGACTGGATCGAGGGTAAACAGCAGGATGCGAAAGAGTTTCTCGGTTTTCTTTTCAATGATCTCAATGATGAAATGTTGGGGTTAATGGAGTTGGTTGAATGTTACACTGAAGATGGGAAACCTACTGTTGATTATGCTATGAGCAATGGCCTAGTTTTCTTTTGATATTCTCGGATTGTGTCTTCTGTCGATTTCAAGGATCGTATCTCTTCGTAAGAGAAGATGTCATCGCGTCTACTTCCAAGCTTGTCTTTTAAGGACTTTCTTGTGGTTCAACCTAGCACCACTAATGAGACATTGGCAAAAAGAAACAGTGCTGTCAGGTGTTAGATCACGAACTCTCGGGATCTGGTTTCATCTAGTTGCCCTGCAGTGAAAGACAGAAGACAAATTTCTTTAGCCGTCGATGTCGAAAAAGAAATGTCGAACAATTTGTTGATCAGTGCTGCAGTTATCACAGTTATAATCTATTTCTTGGCAGAGTTCGTTAATCTGTCAGACTCATTCAATGTCAATCAGAAGACGGCTGTTGTAGGTACTTATACTGTATACCTATTTCATTTCATTGTATACTTTTTACACCTTGTTAAATTCGAAATTTTTCTGAAAGAATTACTGAAATACCTTTTCATGATATTGATATTTTTTGTTGTCTTTTATTCCACTCATCAACTGTATTTTGAAAATTAGTGCTTTTAATCTGTGACAGATTTTTAAACTGATATATTTTATCAGTATTGGTGATATGTTTCAACGATATATTAGGTAAATGGTTAGGATCGTTACAGTTTTTGAAAAAAAAATCTGTTCAATCATGTGAAATTTTCACAGTACAAATTTTATTGTGACTATACTTTCAATCTGCATAACCTTCTCGATGAGATTCCTTTAAAAAATTGAGACAGGTACATTTTGAATATTTTACATTTTTTGTAATTTCATCTTTCCCACTAAATATCTATGTTGGTTTACCTAATAAAAAAAGGAATAATTAATAACTTACGTCTCTTTTTCTCTAGGTCTGGTGGGGTCGAATATCTCCATTTTGAATAAGAACAAGTTAGGTTGAGAGGTTAGGCTGAGTTATAATGAAGAAAAAATCTGAATTTTAGTTTCAAATTCAAAATTTCCGATGTACGTTATGGAAATTGAGGTTAAGATTTTTCCTAACCACAAGAGCCAAGTTTCAACTGTCGTAGGGTCTTGAGTTTATTTACGAATATGAGATATGTCGTGGTAATACTTATACTCGAGGAAACAATATCAGTCGCAGCATCGCCTAAAAACCAAATATATACTTCCAACATTTTCACTTTTGAATAATTTTCTATTCTCATTATAAAATCTACAAACAAATGATAGTCAATATTATTTGTAACAGTATTTTTGTTTATACGTATCGATATTTCCATGATGAATAAGCGAAGACAATCACTACAGGAAACCGTGGAGAGATTATTGAGAATATTAATGTTATTATTTGAATATTCCAAGAGGTGGAACCGGGAGCCACAGAACAATAATTCTTCTACTGAAAACTGTTCTATGGTAACAAACATAATTTCTACTTTACCGATATATTTGTGTTAATTGTAAATGTCGTATTTGGTTTTGCGCTTTTTGTAGTGAGAGTTTTGTGAGATAGTTGTTGAATTTGGGGATATCCAATTTATTCAGGATAAACAGTAAGTAATAATTATAGAAATGTGCATTCAGTAGTTTAGATTTAGTATTTGAAGTTATCAGTCAGTTTCATAGATATTATCCGCCGAATTCTTGTTGCTTCATATTTTAGGGTTATTAGTTCTCCAGTCTAGCCCTACACGATTTATAATTTATTTATTAATTGTTATTCGAAAACGATACTAGAGTTTACTGACACCTAAGTTGAAGGTATCTCTAAAAACAATGTCTGAGCTTTCAATTTGTTTGGTTATGCTCAACGTATCTCAGAATTCAAAACAAAACCATTCTATATGCATTAATATATTTCTTTCAGCGGAAAATCTGATGGAATGATTGTGAATTAGCGAGAAAGAAGACAAGACAAAACACAAGTGAAAATGGCAGCTCTTGGTCATCAAGCCGCTGCGGCTTCATTGCTCGACTTTAACCAGAAGTTAGACATCAACCTTCTGGATAGTGTGGTTGTAAGTATGTATGCAGGAAATGGAGAGACACAACGAATTGCACAAGATGTTCTAACAACTTTAAAAGAGCATCCGGATGCGTGGACAAGGGTTGATACAATACTCGAATATTCAACAAATCAGCAAACTAAGTACTACGCTCTGCAAATTTTAGAACAGGTCATTAAAACACGATGGAAGATCCTGCCAAGGAACCAGTGTGAAGGTATTAAAAAATATATAGTGTCTCTCATCATTAAAACAAGCTCGGATCCTGAAACATTGGAGATAAACAAAACCTATCTTAATAAGTTGAATATGATATTGGTGCAGGTTCTGAAACGAGAGTGGCCTAAAAACTGGGAAAGTTTTATTCCTGACATTGTGGGTGCAAGTAAAACAAACGAGAGTTTATGTCAAAATAATATGATAATTTTGAAACTGCTTAGTGAGGAACTATTCGATTTTTCATCAGGACAGATTACACAAACTAAAGCTAAGCATCTTAAAGATACAATGTGTTCCGAATTCTCAGCAATTTTTCATTTATGCCAGTTTGTTTTGGAGAACTCACAGAATCCACCTCTAGTGAATGCCACACTGGAAACTCTTCTTCGTTTTCTGAATTGGATACCTCTCGGCTACATATTCGAAACTAATTTGATCAACACATTGATCTTCAAATTTTTACCAGTTCCTATGTTTCGCAATATTACTTTGAAATGCCTCACAGAGATTGCAGGAGTAACTGTTAGCAATTACGATGAAATGTTTGTCCTCTTATTTAATCAGACGATGATTCAATTAGAGATAATGTTACCTGTTATGACTGACATCAAATCAGCTTATGCTTGTGGGCAAGATCAAGAGCAGAACTTCATCCAAAATTTGGCTTTATTCTTGTGTTCATTCTTGAAAGAGCACAGCAACATTGCAGAAAATCAATTTGCTACTTTGGGGAAAGCACTTCGATATCTTGTACTGATTTCTGAAGTAGAAGAGGTTGAGATTTTTAAAATATGCCTGGAGTATTGGAATACTTTGGCATCTGATTTGTATCAAGAAGTGCCTCATGGAGGAGCGCGTCCAATATTTTTTGGAAATAGTCGTCCCACTTGTACAAAAGAGACTTCTGTAAACATGTATCATGAACTGTATAAAGAAGTATTGAACAAAGTTCGATATATTATGATTTCACGAATGGCAAAGCCTGAGGAGGTGTTGGTTGTTGAGAATGATAATGGGGAGGTAGTGAGAGAATTTATGAAAGATACTGACTCAATTAACTTATATAAGAATATGCGTGAAACACTTGTTTATTTAACTCACTTGGACTGTGCTGATACTGAACGTATTATGACAAACAAGTTACAAAACCAAGTCAATGGTAGTGAATGGTCTTGGAAGAATTTGAATACGCTCTGTTGGGCTATTGGAAGCATATCTGGTGCAATGCATGAAGAAGATGAAAAAAGATTTCTTGTTACTGTTATTAAAGATCTTCTTGGTTTGTGTGAACAGAAACGTGGTAAAGACAATAAGGCTATTATTGCTTCTAATATTATGTATGTAGTGGGACAGTATCCACGATTTTTAAGAGCACACTGGAAATTTTTGAAAACTGTTGTAAATAAACTTTTTGAGTTCATGCACGAAACTCATGATGGTGTTCAAGACATGGCGTGTGATACTTTTATAAAGATTGCTTTGAAATGTAGAAGGCATTTCGTTACTACACAAATTGGAGAGTCTTGCCCTTTCATTGAAGATATTTTGGCTTCAATATCCACCATTATATGCGATCTACAACAGCAACAAGTTCATACATTTTATGAAGCCGTGGGATATATGATATCTGCTCAGGTAGATGCTGCAACTCAAGAAGCACTAATAGAAAAGTACATGTTGTTACCCAATCAGGTGAGTAAATAAGTTATAAGTTACAGTGTTTTATAATTTTTATAAATGTAATTAAGTCATTTTTATGCATATTCTTTGAAAGATCTTTTATGTGGTCAATGTTTAATATTTTTGGTTTTTAACTTGTTATGATCTGAAAAGTAAATGACTCTAGATGAGCAGAAAATCTTCTCTAGTGAAATGAGCAAACAGAATATTTTTATGCATATTCTTTGAAAGATCTTTTATGTGGTCAATGTTTAATATTTTTGGTTTTTAACTTGTTATGATCTGAAAAGTAAATGACTCTAAGATGAGCAGAAAATCTTCTCTGGTGAAATGAGCAAACAGAAAACTTCACCATGGAAACTTCTTAATAATCTAAACTTTCTATGAAGAACTCCAATTAGTCGGTTTTTTTGTCATGTTTAGAAACATTTTCTTTCAAATAACTTAAAATTATTAGAAAAACTATATACTTTGTTGGTCTTATCAAATGGTTGGTTGTGAGAACTGGCTTTGAGAAATGAATTGGATAGATCTCCGAAACGTTGAACATTCATTGTGAAAAGCTAAGTACCAAAAGAATTTACATCTCTAACAGGTTCATCCCCTTCAACAATAATATTTATATAACAAAAATATTTAGGCCTAAAGGCATAAAGCATGGAAGTATGGCAAAACAAGTTTTACAACAGTAATTATGAAGTTATAACTAGTTTGGCAATGCAATGTTTTGATCATTAGATTTCATCATCCACTTTATTTTCTTAACTATGGATCTCTAGTTTTTTCATTGATTTTTGTAGCCACTGTAATAAATTCAGCTATATATTACATACATTACAGGTTTTTATTAAAAAAGGAAAGTTCACTATGGAATCTAATGAATAAATGATTTTGATGTGGAAGGTACAATATGAAAATTTTTCAGACTGGGATATCATAATAATGAGCAGACAGATACTTGTGCCTGATCTTTTATTGAATGGTATTTCATCCTGACTTTAAGGAAATATAACTGTCTCAAGTCGAAGACATTGATATCACTGAAAATATGTATCACACAAAATCAGAATTTCCTAGGTTTTGAAATATAATTTAAATTAACTTTAAAATAGGAATCTTTTACCTAATTTAACCGATTTTGTATCTCTTACGAATTCTGATTTTCCTGTAATGGTGTATATATGTATAGCCTGTATAACAATTTTAAATTTTTTCATTCTACTGTGCATTCAAATCCCAGATGCTAAACTAGAATGGTTGACACGTAGTCAACTCATTATTCATATCAAGTGAATAATTTATTGTACATAAATTCATCTAGAGTTTATTAATGTCTCACAACCACAAAATAATTTTCTCATTCAATTTAAACTTATTATCATGGTGAATATTATATGTAAGCAATGTGTTTACTCAATTTGATTTTTTTTATTTTTAGGTTTGGGATGATATCATCAGCCAGGCCAGTAAAAACGTTGACTTTTTGAAAGAGATTGAAATTGTTAAGCAGTTAGCAAGTATATTGAAAACTAACGTAAGGGCTTGCAAAGCACTCAATCATGCTTATGTTTTACAACTTGGTCGCATCTACTTAGACATGCTGAATGTCTATAAGGTAATGTACACATTTTTATTGATAATTTTTAAATTGTTATCATAGTTGAACTAATTTCCGTTGCATGCTCTGAAATGTTTTTTTATTTGAAAATATAAAGATTAATGAGAAGACCTAACCAAAGTGTGTTCTCTTTTGTAACTTTTGATAAGTTGATGAAGGAAAGGAGTTACCTTCATATAATGTAAACTAAATGACATGATAATTTTTAAGTTTACTTAATATTTTCACAAGTTCATCATAACTTGCAATTTTGACAATTGAATGATTTTTTATTTTGATAAAGTTAAAGAAACCTTGAGAAAAAGTAACTTTTTCACAATAGAACTTGGTTAAAAATTCAAAAAATATGAGATTGTATTAAAAATAAATCATTTCGAGTTTATATTAAAAAAACTTTTTTGTGGTGTTTAAAGTATCAATTCAAATAAAAATATTCAAATTTCAAAGCTGGTGTATTTTTTTTTTTAGAATTTTGAATAATTTTTTCATTCTTTCCTTCCTGTATTTTTATTGACTTTCAATATGAACATTAGTGGCAAATCAGTACTTTGTGGGAAATTTTTTTTTTGCTTTCTACCCCTTCATCTATATACAAAAAATGTGTGAATCTTCCAAAGAAAGGAATGAATGAAGCACTCAGTTTAAAATCATTAACTCACAAAGATGATTGTATAAAGATGGAGAAGTAGAAAGCCAAAAACTTTCTCAAATATGTATCTCTCCTAAAAATATACCCCTTTCTATTCAAACAGTTTTGTGTTTTTTCTCGCTACTTATATTATAAAAACACATACAATATGAAAAATTTTCTTAAAACATTCATTATACCGTTTTCAATTGTTTCATTTCATAAATTCAGCTTTATCATTTGCAATTGAATGATACTGTTTTGATAAAGAGAAAAAAATGAATAAAAAATTGTACTGACTACATTTTTCAGGTTATGTCAGAAAACATAACAGCAGCTATTCAACTTAATGGAGAGATGGTCACGAAACAGCCTTTGATCAAATCCATGAGGGTGGTAAAAAAGGAAACCTTGAAACTCATATCAGATTGGATATCAAGATCGCACGACAATGGTATGGTCTTAGACAATTTCATCCCCCCATTTTTAGATGCCGTTCTTCTGGATTATCAGAGAACGCAGGTACCTGCTGCTAGGGAACCTGAAGTACTCAGTTC